AAAAGGGGATAAAGGGGCAAAGTGTGGGTAGCATTCTGTTCCTCTGAGTCAATCCTAATGAAGTGGGAGGTTCTTGAAGAAATTAATTTCCATTTAAATTCATGTGTGACCCTCTTCTAGAAACCTCCACTTCTTTTGGAATTTTTGTTGAGAATTTCAAATGATCCAGCAATAATAAGGTCTTTTTTGACATGTTCTATTTCTCCGTCTAAGTTTTGTGTTGAATGCCTGATTTCGGCTATAGAAATTTTCTTAAAATTGGAATGACTGATTACTTTCCTCTCTGTTTACTAATTTGATATGGAAAAATAAATCATGATTCTCATACTTCCAAAGCAATCAGGCTTTTAATCCAGGGTACTGTACTCACAGGTTTCCTGTAGGAGTTGATGCCAAATTTCCTGGCAACGAAACAGTGGTTGATTCCAGGGCTTTTCTGACTTAAAGACACAGTGGTATTACTTAACAGAAAATAGAAACCTGCCCCTCCACTGCAGTTTCTGAGCTTAGCAAAAAGTGACAGAAGCAATGAAATGGGTGGATTTTACCAGGGCATTATAGAACAAAGGAAAAATAGTCTGCACTCTACTTGGGCCCTATACCCTCCACTCTCCAAACAAAAATCATTTGAAAAGAGTGACTTCGCTTTTTCTTCAGAAATGACTTTAATTCTCTTACTTTTGATTATTTGTGGGCAGATTTTCTGTTTCACATCTTATCTGCCCCAAACACTGCCATACAGTAGCATCCCAGTGGTGGGGCAGTGACCCAGAATTGAAGGAAGTCACTTAAATTCTTTATCCCTACTCATTTGTAGGAGCTTATGTTTCTGTTTCCCCGAGAGGAAAGGGGCTACAATTCATAGCATCTGAGCTTAATTCCAGTTTTTTCTCCTGATCATATTGATGTTACCCAAATCACTCTTTCTTAAGATATGCCACTTTGTGGTTAACACTGAACTTCACAGAGCAGAACAGAACATTTTCTTCCTTGCTGTGTGACATGATATTCTTGTAGCCCTGAAAGAAAGCTCTGAATTTAGCTTCCCTTCTACACTGAAAAAACCATTTAATTTAGTGCCGTCTTCAGGCTGCCGCTTTCCCATGCAACTGCTCTTGACTACTAGCTATTGCGCTTTCCTCGAATTTTACTGGTTATGCTGGAATAATTTTAAATTATGTTTATAACTTGGGTCTAATTTTAATCACTATTTGTATTTTTGTATAATCTATATCCTTGAGTGTTTTTTGTACATTTGTTTTCTGAATATGCCTTTGGCCAACTGTGGGTCTTGTGTCCTAAACACTTGATTTTTCTTTAAAACCATCTGACACTAGTTTTTTTTTTAAAGATTTTATTTATTTATTTGACAGAGAGAGACACAGCAAGAGAGGGAACAGAGGCAGGGGGAGTGGGAGAGGGAGAAGCAGACTTCTCGCTGAGCAGGGAGCCCGATGCGGGGCTCAATCCCAGGACCCTGGGATCATGACCTGAGCCGAAGGCAGACGCTTAACGACTGAGCCACCCAGGCGCCCCTAACCCTAGTCCTTCTTTGGAGCTTCACAAGCATGGTTGTATTTTTGAGTATAGATTTTTAGTATAAGGTAAAGTTGCTGCCTTTTAAAATAGTTTCCCTGGAAAACTGACTAGTGGGGCCCTGGAGTCATAGACTCTTTCCCATTACTCCTGTTTTTCTCCATTATAAATTCTTTTCCTATTTTGAGACTAAAGTCATTTTCTGTGGCTGAAAATTTTACAATAATGTTCTTGAAATTTCCTGCCTAAAAAAGTCAAGAGATCTTAGTGTTTTTAATTTAATGTTATGTATGCCATAATGACATCTTACTAAGAAAATGCTTCTGGATTAACTATTGCATTAATTATATTTGTATTTTTATGCCCCACCCATCTCTAAAAATAATTTGAGGCAACTTACCTTAAAATCATTTATAATATGTCCACTAAAATTACTAAAATGGAAGAAATGGAAAAACAAGTGTAGGCAAGGCTGTGAAACAAGTAGAACTTTTTGTACGTGCCGGTAAGAGAGTAAACTACTACAACCACTCAGGAAAATTGTTTGGCAATATTTACTAAGCTGAACGTTGGTATACCCTATGAGCAGTAATTTGGCTCCTAGTTATACACCCAACATACATGTATACAAAAGGTTACCAAAAGGCGTGTGCTAGAATGTTCACATAGCACTCTGCATAGTAACCCTGAACTGTAAAGTACACAAATGCTCATTATTAAGGACTGAATTATGTCCCCCCAAAATTCATAGGCAAAGTCCAAACCCCCAGTGTGACTGTATTTAGGGATAGGGCCTTTAAGTAGATAATAGTCGGTAAATGCAGCTAGACACATGTTAATAAGGGAAACGAGTTTATATAAAGCAGTATGTACCCTAATGCCCAACTTGAAAATGATTTAGGACACACTCTTAATGATTTGATCAATGTCAGTGCCAAATGACATTTTCCTATGCCTGGAATAGTTGTCAACCAGCAAAGATCAGGACTATCAGATACGGTGATTATGCTTTGTGTTTTAAAAACCTTTAATTTAGAAAATAACTTTTACATACTAAATATTGGAGATACTTAAATTTTAAAATAATCTTATTTGCATTTATTTTGTGTTAAAGTTTCCTTTTAATATTTCCTGCTATCAAGTCTGTATCTGGTAGAGATCATTTTTATGTTATTGAAATGTATCACAATATACATAATATAATATAGAAATATATGTCCTAGTATATTGATTTGTAATAGTGATAAGCCATGAGTTTATTTTTATGCCATATTTTTCATAGAAAACCACCAAAGCTTTTAGTATAACCGAGTAACAGAAAAATAATTCACTGTTTATTAGTATTGTGATAAATACAGAATAACTTATGATTTCAGGAATTTTCAAGATTAATATCTTCAGGGACTTTGGAAACACTTGTGGGGATTCCCCAGATTTCCCACCTTGCGTGGTTGCCCCCAACTGTCCTCTGGTTCTTCAGGCCAGGACTGCAGGTTTTCTGTTGGAGTTGGAGTTGGAGTTGCCCTGAGCAGTCCTGATTTTATTGTCTTCAGTCTGAAAGCTGTAAAATGGGTAATTCACCCACGTTTTTCCCTTTTCCCAAGTGTCTGCTCCCTCCAGAATCTGCCTGCTTCTCTTCACTGCCCAGTGCCTTCAGGTCACCTATTTTTGTATTTTGTCTGGAGTTGACAGCTGCCACGGGCAGGAGGGCCAATGGGGATAGAGCTTATTTGGTCCTACTGGACCCAGAACTCTTCTCCCTGGTCTGAGAGAGCCCAGCCTACCTAGTATCTTATGAAGAAGGCTGCACAGGAGATAGCTTTTTTGAGAACTCACCTGTCCAAAAATGTCTTTATTTTTCTTGATTAATAGTTTGGGCATGGTTTGTTTGACAATAACTTCCCTTTAGAAAATTTTAGACGCATACCATTCTCTTCGTGCTTCCATTATTACAGCTGCAAAATTTCATGAGAACTGACACAAATCAGTTTGTTGACCTTTTTATATTTAACCTGTTTTTCCTCTTGAAGTTTTTAGGATATTCTTTCTTTATTCCTGGTTTCTGAAGTTTCCAGATAATATGCCTTGGAATGGAGCCTTTGCCCCCAGTCTTTGTCATGGGTGTTCACTGGAGTCTTTCAACTTAGACATTCATGCTCTTCAGTTCTAGGAAACAATTTAATTTTTTGATTGCTGCTGCTTTTATTTTTTTCTCCATAGCCTTTGGAGCTTCTCCTGGTTAGATATTGGGCCTTCTGGATTTATTTTCTGATTCTTTTATTCTCCCTTCTGTTTTCCAGTTTTTGTTCTTTTTGTTCTATTTTCTGAAAGATTACTTCAACTTTTTCTTCTAATTCTTTTCCTGAATTTTTTATTTAACAGTCATATTTAGAGCTCTTTCTTATGCACTAATTGTTCTTTTAGGTTATAGCATCCTTCTTTGTTTATGCATGTAATATCTTCTTCTCTTTAGGTGTATTAGAGTGTATTTCTCTTTGCTTCCTCCAAGATCCTCTTTTTCTATCTCTTTTAGTCTTTATTTTATATCTTAGAGGCTTTCCTTAAGTGCCTAGAAATACTTGGTTGTCCATTCACAAGATTGAGGCATTAAAAAGCTGATTAGAAGTTCTGTGTGCATGGATAGGGTTTTATTGATTGGAGGATGGTAGATAAGGTGGCAGGTCAGGTTTTCCATTGAAGAACCCCCCAATGTCAGTATCTGCAAGTCTTTCTTTTGGCTATTCAGTTTCCTCCAGAATGTTTCCTTCAATCTTTCTACTTCCTTCAGTAGAAGTTTTGCTGGTAGGGTTCTGGATGCTGAAGAGGGAAGTACTGTTGGTTTCACTGTTAATATGTAGGATTTGAGTATGGTGTCTCTCCCACTTTCTTCATTGTTAAAGATGACCCAGATGGTAAACTTATTAGTTTCAGCTGGAGTGGAGGAGGTGTACAGGACTCTTGCTGTCCAGGTAAAGGCAGGGCATCTAAAGAACTGTCTTTGTCTTATATTCCAAGAGTGCCCCTATTTCCAGCCTGCCCTCTCACCTGTAACTTCAAGTATATGTAGTAGTGCTAAGCCTTTGGAGTGTTTTTAGTGAGAACTGGCTTGCTTCATGTTGGCTTAGCACTCCACCTCCCATCTTCTGATTTCTCAATCTACCAAGGTCCTACTCATCCAGCTAAGGACAATGCCAGATTTTTCTTCTTTCAGGCTCCCCTAATCTTTCCAGGTGACTTGTGTAGAGAACCTTTCCTCCATCCCATCACTTGTCTTTGGGGGAGGGTAAGTCACCCTCTTCTTTCCTAAGGGGAAGGCGCTTATATCGATAATACAGATCATCTAAACAGAAAATCAGCCAGGAAACAATGGCTTCGAATGACACACTGGACCAGATGAATTTAACAGATATATTCAGGACATTCCATCCTAAAACAGCAGATACACATTCTTTCCAAGTGCACATGGAAGATTCTCCAGAAGAGATCACATATTAGGTCACAAAACAAGCCTCAAAAAATTCACAAAGATTGAAGTCATACCATGCATCTTTTCTGGCCACAACGCTATGGAACTAGAAGTCAACCTGAAGAAAAATTCCTAAGGGGAAGAAGAGAAGAAAAAGGCTCTTATCACAAATACTAGACATAAAGATTCCTGACCCCTTCTCCCCTCCTCATAAAGACACTGTGGTGTGGTGGAGAGTAGGGAATGGTGGAGGAGGAGGAGGAGGAGGAGGCATTTGGAATAGGGCTGGTTCTCTTCATGATTTAGCCATGGGGGCAGGAGTCTGGATCCAGCCATTGGTGGCACATTGGTGGTTCTCTTTAGAAACTTGGGGGGCACTAAGCACTTTTAGTCATCAACTTGGACCTTAACTGCAGTTCCAGGACTAGGGAGAAGAGTTGTACTTGAAAACTGCATACTATTTCATTGTGTGCGTGTATTCAAATGTACTTCATAGTCCCCATTGAGGGACATTAGAGTTTTATTTTTTTTTAAGATTTTATTTATTTATTTGACAGAGACACAGCGAGAGAGGGAACACAAGCAGGGGGAGTGGGAGAGGGAGAAGCAGACTCCCCGCTGAGCAGGGAGCCTGACTCGGGGCTGGATCCCAGGACCCTGGGACTACGACCTGAGCTGAAGGCAGATGCTTAATGACTGAGCCACCCAGGCGCCCCAGGGTTGTTTTTTTCTCACTTTTTTGATGTTAGAGGTGTCACAATGAACATCCTTGTAGTTGTTAACCATTATTATTTCCATAGGTGAAATTCTTATGAGTGGAATAGCTGGGTGATGCGGTATGCATGTTTTTAACGCTTTTATCACAAATTATCTGGTTGCCCTGAAATCTTGTACCAATTTTATACCACTCCCAGCAGTATGTGAAGAGGGTCCATTTTCTCCTTACCTAGGCTTGCTCTAGCTTTTTCCTCATCTCTGCTAGTTTAGATAAAAGAATAGTATTGCATGATTTTACTTTGCATTTGTTATCACTAGTAAATGAATGATTTTACATAGGCTTCTTGCCCATCGAGCTTTTTTTTAATGCAATTTTCCTTTCCAGATCCTTTGTCAGTTTCTCTATTTGTGGTATTAAAATTGTATTAATTTTTAATACATTTGATAGTAATATGCCATACATGTTGCTACTGTGTTTCCTGGTTGCTCTGCCTGTGTATTTTATTTATAATACTTGGTTATACAAAATTTTAAATTTTTAATTTTTCAGATCTTAGATAAGTGAGGGCTGAATTCTCTGAGTCTCAGTTTTCTCGTCTGTAAAAATAGGATAATAGCAAATACTACATGGACAGGTGGGGGTAGTATAGGTAAACTAACTGTTACATAGTAGTTGCTTGATAAATGCAGCCTTTGTTATTCTTTGTGTGACACATTGAAATAGTTCAGAACCATCTAAATTTTTTACTAGAATTACAAAACATATTCAAAGATGTATAAACCAGATATGAACCTGGATAATGAGTAAAACTCTGAATCTTTTAAGCTAATATGGACAGGTAAGTTTTAATTTCTCTTTTTACTTTCCTAATTCTCATCCTTCAAAAAAGTTAATGAGCTCTGATTGATGCATCCTTTTAAGTAGGGGAAATCTGGTCTGAGTGGAGTGTGAGAAGACTAGTGTTTTCTTGTAAATTATCTGTTAAGGGATTATGAATAAGTTCATTTCTGGTAAGGATTTCTTCCACAGCATCCTCATTTATTTCATGTCAATACAGAGATATATCTAATAAAACCAAAACACATACTAGCCCCTCCCGCTTTTAAAACAATATGAAGCTGAGGTTTCTGCCCTTCAACTGGTCAATAGAACTCACTCCCTGAGGTCAAGTACAATTTGGCTTAGATGGATAACAGGCTGTTCAATTTTAAGTTACATGAACTACTTTTGTGAATATTTATTTTTAGGCCACTTAACACCAGTAAAAATTTTTATTTTGCATGTTGTAACTTCTGAGTAACTTTTTACAATAATTTAATAAAATTTTATCTATCTATCTATCTATCTATCTATCTATCTATTTTTGAAAGAGAGTGTGCACGCGCAAGCAGGGATGGGGGTGGAGGGGCAGAGGGAGAGAGAAAGAGAATCTTAAGCAGGTTCCATGCTCAGTGTAGAGCTCCATACAGGGCTCAATCACAGAACCCTGAGATCATGACCTGAGCCAAAACCAAGAGTCAGACACTTAACCGACTGAGCCACCCTGGTGCCCATGTAGAATTTTTTATAAGATACTGCTATAATAAAATAATTATGCCACTTCACATATAATTTCACTGTAAGTAAATCATATATAGTAATTTCATTGATGATGCAGAAGATGTGGCCTGACTGAAGTCTTGTGAGCCACATTTTAATATTATAGTATATTAGAGCGCTGAGTAAACGAGAAATCACTACTGAGGAAATTTGTAAGCAATTGTTTATTCACTAAATATGCTCTTAGAAATGTGACTGTCTTGGTTATTTTTCAGAATTCATTTCTCCTCCTCTGTTGGGTAACATGCCTCTCCTAAGAAGAAGTTAACTTCCTGCAAGCCAGCAGAAACCCTGGGTGGCTGGTTTTGCTCCTTCTGTTTTATAGCCCTTAAAAAGTACCTTTGCTTCTTTTCCAATAGTTGAGTGTGTTTATGCCACTATAACAAGGTGGGGACAATTCCAAATGAATTCCCAAGAATAATGTTGGCAAAGCCATATAAACATACATGTGCTTGGTGTAGACACTGACATTTATATTGGCTTGTGCGATTTCTTTGTACCTTTAAAATTGTTTTTTGTCTCTATAATCCCTTTGTGTAGTGTCATTTTATTATGTAATACTACCCAATTCAAATGTCATAAAGCCTTTACTTAAGTCAAATAGCATTTCCCCTGCAAAGTTAACCATTGCAGATGATGTTTTTAATATCCTTTGAGGTGGAATGGTTATCACTTGGAGGGTACAATTCCAAAACCCTTCATAATGACCGTGTGCTGTCCTGCATTTTAAAAGCATTTGCTGTACAACAGTTGAAGAATTAGGTGCTTGTTAAATGCCTGCCACCTGGTAATTATCTCAAGGGAGAAATGAGTTTGGTTTCTTTTACACTTAAAAAATAATTTGTCATATTAGTTTTCAAAAAGACTTTATTAAGATGAATGTCCAGAATTGAGTTTAATTGCTTCCACACCTAGATAAGCAAAATTAAGCATATCGGCAGGTCATACTGTATAAGTTTGTATGTAGAGTTGAAGTAAACTTACATTTACACTTGAAGTTGTTTTTTTTAACAGCATTTATTTCTTCTGCCAGATATTTTATTTTATTGACAGTTAATTTACAAACCCCTCTTTAAAAAAAGTGACAGGAAGAAAGGGCATAGTGTTATCACATTTGTGTATGTGGGTTCCCTAAACCATATGGCGATTTGTAATTAGAATACAAAGGATTCTTTGATGAGACTAACTTCCGTAGGAGCCGCAATGGTAGGCATCACAGAAGGAGAGAGTTTTCTTGAATTTCTGACAAGGACATTTTTGAGAGAAACTGTGTGGTCTATAATTGTCCTTATATTCGAAGTCCCATAAAGTTATTGATGTGCAGATCAAGTTGGTAATTTGAAGCTGGTGATTTAATTCTGGATGTTTGATCCTCTCAGTCAGTGGCTTGACTTGATTTTTTTTTTTTTTAAGCAGCTTCAATATTTAATTTCACATGTACCCTCTCAGTTGAGATTTCAAAGGATACTTTGCTGGATGCTTGACTGCCTTGTCTATTTGCTCTTGTTTTGCATGCAAGAGAGAGCCAGAAGCCTTTCTTCTCATTGTGTACACATAGTATTAATGGATTTACTCTGCCTGTATCGTCTCATTACTGGAAACAGCCAGAAGCACAGAAGTCTTTCAGTGTATGCAAATAAGGCAGAATCATCTACCTGAGAGTTAATATTCTCTGCTTTTAAGTGTATTCTAAATCTAATGTTTGTATTTAGAGCATAACATCCTGTTCTCTTTTTTTGTGGGCAAAAAGCTAAGCAGGCTCAGGCAGCTGTTTGATGTTGGCTTCAAGTGTTATTAATTTCATATTCTATTATTCTTTTCACTGTAGCACAAGTGAAGCTGATGTGGAGGCTGTCATGGATAAGTTGTTTGATGAGCTGGCTCAGAAACAAAATGATTGTACGTAAGTTAATTTCTCTTGAAAGAGAATACATTTAGAACACAATGCCCAATCTCCACTGACCAATTAATAAGTTCCATTGCTGTATATGGGTTGATGCCACACTCAAGTGGCAGTCATTGTATCAGCATTTTGTCTAATTTATGTGTTGAATCATGTGCTATTATTCATCAAGCTATGCATTTCCTATCTGTAAGAGATGAATTTTATAGTAATTATCCAGACAAGATTGAGTCTTTGTTCCTGTTCCCATAGTAACTAGACCAAGGATTCTAAAAGTGCAAGGCAGAGAGCTGCGGCTGCATAAAGCGTGTGGAACTGTCGCTGACTGCACATTTGAAGAGCTGTGTGAGAGAGTAAGTATCCAGACACATCCAGACTCATTGGCCTTTTCACTTGTTAAAATACCTCGTATTTTCCTCTCTGCCTGGTTCACATTTTAAAATACTGTTCCCAGAGTCGGCACTGATTTAACAGTCTCATGAAGGGAAATACTCATCCGTCTATGTCATGTGCCTTTTATAGACGTTGGCTCAAAATTTGCACTTAAGAAGGATGCTAAAGCAAAATTGGAAATACGGAGAGAACTATCAACTGTTGCTGGAAGCAAACAGAAACCAGTTTCAGGGATGTTTTGTGAAAGTAAAACATAAGAGAATTATGTTTTTTGTCATTGTGGTGAGGTTAGTATTGGGGCGAGGAAGATGAAGTAATACTACCATGATCCAAGGAAGTATGACATGAGAGAATTTCTAGCCCTCATTCTCAGTGCCCACCTGTGATTGCCATTTCTGATCTGTTTGGGCTACAAAAAGAGTGAATTCCTATTTCTGTGACATCTATATTATATAATAATATATTCAACAGAGGAAAAAATGTTTGTAACAGACACATTCATATAAATGAGAAAGACCTTGATTGCAAATTCATTATTGATATGAATTCTGTCTTTTAAAAGCTCTACTCAGTGGATATTCAATATATTTATTGACTGTAAATCTTGAGAAAAACAAATCCAAATTATACATAACTTTAAGCATAATTTCTCAATTGTCCTGTAAGTGGTCTCTGACTTATCTCAAGTTTTAAGATAACTAAAAAAGAATTGTTTTCAGTGAAGAAGAGAAAGTCTTTGTAGCTGCCAGCCATTTTGTGAGTACTTTTCTCAAAAGCTAATGACTTATTTACCTTTCACCAGTGTAAATTTGTAATTTTTAAACCAGAGAGATGAATCTAATATGCAATTATTATTAGAGAAATAAAGCACTTCAAATCGATAAGATTTAAGATCAAGTAAGATCCTCTGACAGGGCAAAAATATCATCATTGGTGGTATGGAAAGTCATCCTAGGTCGTATGGACCCTTCACATTTCTATGGGGTCAGTTTCGTCAAGGTCCTAATAACCTATTATCTCTAGACAAAATTCTCTTAAGGCTTCCATTTAAGATTTACTTACTCTGCTAGAGAAATAAACTTGAGAAAAATCTTGTATATTGAAAAGATGAAGCTCCTCTTCCTTCCACAAAAGGGGACCTAGTGAGGAAAGGGAAGGACAGACCTGTTGTATCTTGGGCAAAGAGAAAAATCTTGTATATTGAAAAGATGAAGCTCCTCTTTCTTCCACAAAAGGGGACCTAGTGAGGAAAGGGGAAGGACAGACCTGTTGTATCTTGGGCAAAGATGGTCTCTTGGAGCAGTCACTGAGTATTTATATTTTTTATGTGTTATTTCAGGAGACACTTAGTGCCAGGAAAAGGCCACTACTCAGGGGCCCAAATCTTCATAGTCTACTCTGGGGAGGTGGTGGGGAAGAAGGTTGTTGCAAAGAATTCTTTTTCCTTTATTTACAAAGTTTCAGAACAATTAAATAAATTCAGGTAAAATGTTACTAATGTATATCTTACCTTTTTAAATCAAATTATGGTATAAGTCAATCACAAGATTTTATTCCACCCTTTTTATATAATTCTCGGGACCTATGTGAAACAGGCTAGGTCCAGGTATGTGTGTTGAAATTTTACATTTTAAACTTTTTTTTTTTTTAAAGATTTTATCTATTTATTTGAGAGCAAGAATGAGAGAGAGAGAGCACATGAGAGGGGGGAGGGCCAGAGGGAGAAGCAGACTCCCCGCCGAGCAGGGAGCCCGATGCGGGACTCGATCCCGGAACTCCAGGATCACGACCTGAGCCGAAGGCAGTCGCCTAACCAACTGAGCCACCCAGGCACCCCGAAATTTTACATTTAATGGCATGTGTCCTAAATTCCTTCTCACACATTCTTTTTTTTTTTTTTTTTAAGAATTTATTTATTTATTTGACAGAAAGAGACAGCAAGAGAGGGAACACAAGCAGGGGAAGTGGGAGATGGAGAAGCAGGCTTCCTGCTGAGCAGGGAGCCCAATGCGGGGCTCGATCCCAGGACCCTGGGATCATGACCTGAGCTGAAGGCAGATGCTTAATGACTGAGCCACCCAGTCTAACTGCATTCTAACTGCATCCTGCAAATTGACATTGCAAGGCAGCTAAAGGACTAGAGTTTGTAGGGAGGATTCAGGATTGGTTGAACAGATGGATAAGATAACTTTCAAGTGTCTTTCAACACCAAGATTATGAATGTTTAACTTAAGGGTTGATGAGGAATGTGAGGATGGAAAGAGAGGACAAAAAGATTTAGGGATAATTTTTGACATTGGATTCACATCCTCCTTATAAGGATCTGACCCATTCTCTACTAAGCTCTTTGTAATCTCACTTCTGCCATACCTGTCCCCCCCCATGCTTTAGCCAGGCTGTCTGCCTGCTTATTTGGACATGGTATTGCCCGAGCTCAGCATATTTGGGAAATGGCACACACAGATCAGCAATGCTGCAGGAATGGTTTTGCTGCTGGGAAGGTAAAAGGCCAGGGAGATTCCTGGGCTGCCTCAGTTCTGGTGATTAATGCCCTTATTCCCTGATGCTAATCACCACTGTTGACATCCAACACCATCAGCCTTGACTCTTGGCCAAGTAGTAGAGATAAAAGCTATTCATCCTTTAGTATTTACTGAGAGTGTACCAAGCACGGGACACAAACCAGAAGTAGTTCCCATCTGGTGGTTTCATTTGGAATACATGAAATGAAATAAAGCATAAAATAGAGATAGAGAAGTGAAATGTTTTTTAACAATTCCCCAAGAGATACTGTTAGGTACAGTTATAAGTCTAACCACATATAAACTAATTTGATATAATCAAGATTAATAGATAGATGAAGGCCAAAACATGTATCTGATGGATCTCCATTCCTTGAATACTAAAAACCAAAGAAGAAAAAAGCTAATAAACAAGAAGTTGACAGGGAACATGTGTATACCCATGCATATGCATCAACTGATATATTTCTCTGCTTAGACTTTTTACAAACACACCTGGCTACCTGTCATTATTTTTAAGACACAAATAACAAACTACTCTTGCAAATAGTTACTTGTGAGCACAGTTATGAGTTGAGGAAACAATTTTCTGCAGGTGTAAAAATTACATTTTTCAATAAGGAAAATTTAGGTATAGTCAGTTTACTCATTAAGCCTTTAGAATTCAGTTTTGGCTCACTTTCTTTGAACAGTGTTCTTTCATTTTTGGTCTACAAAAGCTTAACCCTAAAGCAAGTGGTTCTCAAACTATTTGGTTTCAGGACCCCTTTACACTCTTAAAAATTATTGAGGAGGGCGCCTGGGTGGCTCAGTTGGTTAAGCGACTGCCTTCGGCTCAGGTCATGATCCTGGAGTCCCGGGATCGAGTCCCGCATCGGGCTCCTTGCTCAGCGAGGAGTCTGCTTCTCCCTCTGACCCTTCCCCCCTCATGCTCTCTCTCTCTCTCATTCTCTCTCTCTCAAATAAATAAATAAAATCTTAAAAAAAAAAAAAATTATTGAGGAACCCAAAGAGCTTTTGTTTATATGGGTTGTCTCTCTTAATATTTACTCTATGTTTTAGAAATTAAAACTGATAAAATTTTAAAGTATTTATAATTGATTTAAAATAACAATGATAAAACCCATTATATTCAGCCCATCAAATTAACATAAATATCGCTTTTATGAAAAGTATATTCCAAAGTGAAAGTAACTTAGTAAGAAGAGTGACAATATATTATATTTTTTGCAAAGCTCTTTAATATCTGGCTTAATAGGAGATAGGGACATCCTCATATCTGCTTCTACATTCAATCTATTATGATACGTTGTTTTGGTTGGAGTATATAAGAAAATCTGGTCTCATACAGATATGTAGTTCGAAATGGGAAAAATATTTTAATAGCCTTATCAGATAATTGTGGATGCTCCTTTTTGATGCTACATGAAAATTCAATAAGAACTTCCTTCCAAAAAGCACAGTATGGAAAGGGGGAAAAGAGTAACTTTATATTAGAGAAACCTGACAAACACTACCTCAGGCAAGTGTGATCAACATTAACATCAACAGCAATGATTCATGTTGATAGTTTATGCCCTTGATATGATGTGATGAAAATAGCACTTGACCTCTGTGGTCTTTCTCCCATTACCCATAATTCCACTCTAATCATGAGAAAAATATCAGGCAAATTCTAGCTGAGGGACATTCTACAAAATAACTGGGCAGTACTCTTCAAAACTATCAAGATCATCAAAAATAAGGAAAGTATGAGAAACTGTCACAGCAGAGGGGAGCCTAAGAGCCATGATCACTAAGAGGTAATATGGTATCCTCAATGGAATCCTGGAACAGAAAAAGAACCTTAAGTAAAAAGTAAGGAAATCTGAACAAAATATGGACTTCAGTTAATAGTATATCAATATTGGTTCATTAATTGTAACAAATGTGCCATGCTAATGTAAGATGTTAATAATAGGGGAAACTGGATTTGGAAGTGTATGAAAACTCTGTACTATCTTTTCAATTTTTCTGTAAATCTAGAACTATTCTAAAAAAGTCTATTTACATTTTTAAAAAAAAATTTGACAAGTAGATTTTATTTCCAGAGTTTATTTTTATTTGTTTATTTGAGATGAGAGAGAGTGAGAGAGAGACAGAGAGAGAAGGAGCAGGGGGAGGGGCAGAGGGCAAGGGAGAAGCAGATCCCCACTGAACAGGGACCCAGCCATAGGGCTCTATCCTGGGACTCCGGGATCATGACCTGAGCTGAAGGCAGACGCTTAACCGACTGAGCCACCCAGGCTCTCCAAGAAGTAGATTTTAAACTGTTAGTTACAAGAATCTGAGACAGTATCAGTGTATTTTTGACATACTATTATATTAAAATCCACTAATCCTTTTTTTAAAAGATTGTATTTATTTATTTGAGAGAGAGAGCATGAACAAGAGAGCAC